ATACCATATGTTGATGTTCTTTTTCAGCCCCTGCTGTGCATTCTCAGCCAACAGTGGAAGTAACAGTGACTCAAGAGGAACCTGAGTGTACAGAGGGATCACGCTGGCTACAGTCATGCAACTCCTGCCGTTGTATTGAAGGAAAAGCAGCTTGTTCAAAGAGAAGGTGTATCCCAGGTTAGGGATGACTCCTGCTTTTATGTTAAGATCAACACATTTTTGCTCTTGTCATGAAGTATAGAGAGTCCACAATGCACTTTTCATTATTTGTTGAGGATTTACAAATAATGTGCTAGGCCCACTTTTCCAAAGTAGTTTTCCATAATTTTAGTCTTGTTTGTAAGCATTTAACTTTTAAAGTATTATTTTCCCATACCTTAATATGCAAACTTATTATGATTAGCAAAACAGTTGTACTTACGCATATGTATGACTAAGGTTTTTAAAAGGAGAAATGAAATTTAATATTATAATTTAAAGACATTTTTTTTTCATAGATTTTGAGCCCTCACCAGACGAGCCTGTTTGTCATGGCAATTCCAGTTGGAGAGTGGACTGCAATTGGTGTAACTGTGCAAATGGAAAAGCCATTTGTACTTATAAGGCTTGTGGAGTACAACGTAAGTAGATAGGAGTTGAATCAATTGATTTTACACAAGGAAACCCTAATGATCAAAGTAAAATCTATGCCATTGTGTTAACTAATTTTGCCTTAAAATGAATAGAGGAAATAATGGCCCTGCCCTTACCCACAGATGATAAACAGATATATTGCATTTTCAAGGAAACAAATACAGATTATTTACTACTAATAAACATTGCCAGGACCTCAAGCACCACCAGTGGCAGTAACTGTCACACGAGAGGAAGGAGCCACATGCACTGAAGGATCTCATTGGCGTCTCGACTGCAACTGGTGTCGTTGCATCAAAGGCCAAGGGGCATGTACTAAGAGAGGATGCAGCGGTATTTTATTTCTTATTTTCTGTTTGCTTATGTTCTTTTCTCCTGTTTTTTTTTTTTTTTTCTTATTCATATTTTCTTTTTTCTCTTTTTTTTAATAATGCTTCTCTTTTTTCATTTTATTTCCTCATATATCTTTTCTTGTTTCCTTTTACTTTTCTTTTTCTTTCATTTTGATTTTCCTTTAAGTTTAGGGTACAACTTTCAGATAACTTATCTATCACTATAACATAATGATTATCATAAGTATTACTCATGGTAATGAATATAGTACTGGTACAATTTAAAATTATTTACCACTTTGATAGTACCTTGTATATTAACCAAATAAGTTACATGGTCACCCTTACATTGTTAACCAAATAAGTTTCATGCTTGCCCTGCATAAATTGCTATAAATTGTGAACCATGCAATGAAATTTACATATTGTTATAATGGAAGCATGTACTCCCCTGCTGTACACCTTCATATTAACTTTTTAGTCTAAATGATAACAGTAAAACACAAATCATTATTCTGTTCATAAATTGCTCAATTACTAACAACTAAATGATTGTCACTTATACTATATAAACCAAATGAGTTCCATTGTCACCTTGTTAAAATTGCTGTTTAGTGTAACAGGGATGAAATGAATTGCTATTCCACAGGCTTATAAATGAAACCTCTACTCCCCTGCTGTAAACTATAACAGTCAAACACAAATCACCATTGTATTCATTAGCTGCTAAAATTACTACAGACAAGTAATTGAGTTCTAGAAGTATGGTTTTATGATGTATTGGTAAGATAGTGTACTTAACAAAGTTTTCTATAAACACAAGCACAAACACAGTAACATGTGCACAAAGATGAAAAGGATAAGAAATTTACAACAAAAAGAAATTTAAAAAAGTTGATTTTCTTATTGTAGCTTTTTTCCTTTCCAAAGCTTTCCATGTTATTTCTGTTAACATCTCTCTGTCTAACCCTTTTATCCTGCCAGTGAATAAAGGAAATGTACTTTAAAGAATTGCTCTTTATGAAAACTCAGATTATCTTAATAAAGGCCATAGAACTTAATTATAAAAACACACTAATTTTGTATTTGTTTCCAGTTTCTTGGTTACCTTTGATTTCATAAGTGATTTTAGAGTAAACACTAATTTTACAACTAATGCATCTTTTATCATAAATTTATCCTATTCATTTTACATTTAATGAAACATTTAAAAAGATTTTATTCTATCTGTTTCCTAGCTGATGAAGCCCCAGGTCCCGATGACCCTGTATGTGAAGGAACTTCATCATGGAAACGTGACTGCAACTGGTGTAACTGTGAAGATGGAAAGGCAGTTTGCACGGAAATGGCATGTGACCTTGAAGGTATGTCTCATTGTAGTGTGTGTGTGTGTGTGGGTGTGGGTGGCTTGGTGTGTGGGTACTGGTGCATGTGTGGGTGCAGTTGCATGTGTGTGTGATCTGTTTAGTATTTACATGTAGTATACTTATATATAGAATTTTGTTGCACATGCTTTTCATGTTTTCTATTTTTTC